AAGGCCTGGCACCTCGCAGGAGGACTCTGCCCGCCCCCCTTTCTTCATTTTCTTGTTTCTAGATGTCTTTTCCTTCAGCCATTCTGTGCCTTCATCCAATTTCAAAAAGATCCCTTTTTCACACTTTGGTAGACACTTCTTAGAAGGACTGAGAACAGGGGTTGGCACACTTTTTCCGTACAGGGTCTGACAGTAAATACTATAGGCTTTGTCTGAAATACAGTCTCTGTGACTACTCAACTGCTTACTGCTGTTTTGGTGCAAAACAGCCACAGACAAGTGGGTATGGCTGTATTCCCATAAAACTTTATTCATAAACAATGATTTTTACATTTCATTTAATATAGTTTAAAATTTCAATTTAATGTAATCTTATTCTGTCACAAAATTATTCTTCCTTATCCCTTCCAATCATTTAAAAATGTAAAAACCATTCTCAGATCACTGGCCATATGAGAACAGGCAGAGGGCTAGTTTTAGCCCACAGGCCACAGTTTGCCAATCCCCAGTTTAGACGGTCTCCCTTTTCCAGAGAAAACCAAAGCCATAGATTAAAGGATGAATCAGTAACAGAACATGTCAGTAATCAGATAGTTGTTATTAGAAAGAAGAATGTAGATAGTCGTTCCTGTCTTTCCAAAACTTTGTTACCACATGGCATATATCTTCTTGAAAATTCAATAACATCAATATGCATTGAGTCCTAAACACAGAAAAAGCCATTTTCCATAGGAGTTGTGAGGAAACTGAAGACAGGCAAGACAACATCTAGTTGTCCCCATTAGTCTTATAGTCTAATGGGGACAACTAGATGGGCACACATATCACACCAGAGGCAGGACAGCAGGTGATTAAGGAGGCGCAAACAATGTGTGTGGGAACTTTCCTTAAGGGTAAGATTAGTTAGAGATGGAGGCTGTGTAGTGGAAAGCAAAGGAGATGTTAATGCTTGAGCTGAGCCTCGAAAAGACATATAGTTTTATCAAGGTGAAATGAAAAATGGAGGTCGTGGAGGTAGGGAGGTCATGGGCTGATTGTCTAACTTTTTCTTTTTTCTTCCTTCTAAAACTGGCAGGCATAGAATTGGATCAGCAAGTCTAGCCTAGTGCTGGCATATGGCAGAGTGGCAGAGCTGTCTTGACAGGCGGCCAACCTCAAGGCCGGTGGTGGGTTCCACGGGTGAATAAAGGGCTGGGGTGGCCACTGCCAAGGCATTTTGCCATAGATGGGTTGTCTGGAGCGATGACTTCTTTCTCCCAAGGTCAACTGCTGAAATGGATAACCAATACTCAGGCCCCGAGTAACCAATTAACCTTGGTGGAGAGCTGCCATCACTGTCAGGGAGAGAGAAGATGACTTCTGGTCCACCAGGGCAACCACTGATGCCCTGCAATCCCCACAGTGGCTGAAAATCAACATTCTGCGCCTGATGAAAAAGGTTTTCTTTTTCTTTTAAATTGGTCCAGGGAAGAAAAAATACATTAAGCCTAATATTGACGTAGGGTTTTTTTTTTTTTTTTTTTTAATGTCCATTAGAAAATAAATATTAGCTAGAAATAGCTTCTTTGGCATTACTTCTGGCAGTGCTAAATGGTTCTACTTAGAACTTGAAAATAATTCAAGTAATGTGAGGATTCAGAACTTGGAACCTGAACAGGAGGTTGTGCGTTTCTAGAAGTTAATGTTCTAACCTTTTTCTTTGTATATTCAGCAACGTGGAATCAGAGAACGAGGTACACTACATTGCAACTGACCAACGTGTGACCTTGAGAAAATCACTTTACTGTTTCGTAGCTCGTTCTTTGCATTCTCCACCGGCATCAACAAATTCATGGCTGACGTAACTAAGCGCTCACTTTGTGCCATGTGTATACCGGAAGCCTGGAGTCAGCCCGCCTGTTTTCTCATCTCTCCTCTACCCCCTCCTAGCTGGGTAACTTTGGATAAGTTACTTAGTTGTTCCAAGCCTCAGTTTCTTGATCGGTAGGATGGTGCGAATCTTAATTATTAATAAATGGCATCAACAAATTCATGGCTGACGTAACTAAGCGCTCACTTTGTGCCATGTGTATACCGGAAGCCTGGAGTCAGCCCGCCTGTTTTCTCATCTCTCCTCTACCCCCTCCTAGCTGGGTAACTTTGGATAAGTTACTTAGTTGTTCCAAGCCTCAGTTTCTTGATCGGTAGGATGGTGCGAATCTTAATTATTAATAAATTATTAAGATCTTTATTAAAAATAATTTTTATTATTAAAATTAAACTCTAGGTGTATTTAACACATGGCCCAGTGTCAGGCACACAGGAAGTCCTCTGTAGTTGTGGGGGTAAGGGGACAGGAAGAAAGGGGGAAGCAGGATGGGGGTCTGTGGAAAGGGAAGGGGAGAGAGCGGGGAGAGGGGAGGGTGGGAGAGGAACGCATCATTTGCCTCATCTAACCTCAGGACTACTCTGTGCAGTGAGTCAGGGGGGTTCTTCCATTTCCAACAGTCTCTGTTTCCACATTTCAAAGGATCTCCCTGTAGCTGGCTGGCTCACTATTATCACTGAAATCTGAGTATCTTCAAATGCCACCTGCCTGCTCTTAATACTATTCAAATAATTCTAATGCGGGAAAAATCTCCTAACAGCTTTGATCAACGTTTAGAGCAAGAGATATTAAAAAACAAAAAACAAAAAAACCACCATTCCTTTTTATCACTATGTCAAAATATTATAATTTAGCATTAATTGTTCTAACATACTAACCTCCTGGGAAACAGAGTCTTTGCTACATCAGGGTTTAAACAAAAAGCCTCACACTAGCCTGGGACGCACTGGTATAATCCTCCCAAATACCGGATACCAGGACAAAAAAACATTAACCAGCTAATTAACAAATGTGAAGATCCTGGCACAGTAACTGGGTGGTGTGTTTTATTTGGCTCTCTGGTTCTGCTTAATGGAGACTAAACCAGGAAAATACCAGCCAAGCAGAGTCCCTGGGGTCTCTAGGTATTAGACTGAGTTGGGGGAGACACTCTCTCTAATGTCTGAGAAGTTAAATTCTGCCCTCTCAGCTTCCTGTCTTTCCCCTGTCCCCCTCCTACTGACCATGGCGGCCTCTGGGCCTGAGGAGGTAAATTTCTGCCGCAGGAGATCCTGCTCTGTGGCCTGCGACTTTCACGAATTGACCTTATGGCAAGAGGTTTGTGGGGAACTGCCTGGAGGTCAACTCTGCCTGGCAGAAAGAAAGGAGTCTGGCAGACCTGCGGCTCATGAAGAAAGTCAGAGCCCTGGTCCAGGTCAGCACACAGGGCGAAGCTGCCTGGGCGACTTGGGAGACAGCGCACCTTTTCTCCCACGGTGGCAGAGGACAGGCCACGTCAGTAGTCTCCCCAAATAACTAAAGCACACAGCATTTTGATGGGGAAGACTCACCATCACATCTGTTTTTCTAAAGCAAAACAGGCAGAACAGACTCAGCCCTTTCCTTGATGACTCTAGACCACTGAAGTGAACACTGTTCCAGGATGCCCTCCAGGGGCTACTGTCCACACATGACTCTTTGAATAGTAAATGGCTCCATCATCCCAGCATTTTAAAATTATTGTATCTGATTTTTAATAATGCACGCTTTTTGTAGTATTTGATGTTTTTTCAAAACAGTACATGTAAACATCAAATACTACAAAATTTATACCAAAGAGCAGTGGTTCATGCCTCTCACTACTGCAAGAACTTCCAACTTGCTAGTGTGGACCCAAAAGGGGTACTGTAATCAATCTAATCTCACAGGATGATCTGATCATCAATTCTGAACCAGGCAGGTCATGGTGGGTAGTCACTCCCCAGGCATATGACTTCCTTAGTAAAAGATTTAAGCAAGCTCTGTCCATTGTTCTTATGCATCTAGGTTAATTAACACACCCTTGAAATGCCAGAAGTTTTCCAGACCCCTAGAAGGCTGCCCTCCAGGGAGCACATAATCTTGCTAACTATCCTATGCCTTGCCTTCTCCCACCTTCATGCAATCTTTACTTTCCCTCAATTCCAAAGATATGAAAGAAACTGCAAAACTGTCGTTCTCTGCAGCATTTGAGATCCTGCTTTCCAAAAATGTCATCGGTTTTGGCTTAAATAAACTCATAAAAATTTTCCATAGGTTTGAACATTTCTTACATTGACACCAGGAAGCTCTTTCTGGTGTTTCCTTCCACTTGGCCCAAAATATGCTTCCATGAGATCTCTCGATTTATCAACTTTAGATGTTATCCTCTGAATTTTTGCAATGCTGTGGACTCTTCCTCACAACTTTGGTTATATC